TTCAGGGGATGCGGCAGCCTCTGTGGGCATTGCATGCAAGTGGCACAATTATATATTTGCAGGCAAAGAACTCATACATATAAAATAAAAAATAAAAGAAATTAAAAAAAAAAGACCAAGAAGCACCCAGTAGTCATTGTTCACTATGTTAAGGCAAAAATAAAAATCTATCTGGGTGTACATTCTGATTCTTTGATTAGTTCATGCCTACTGTTGGGGATTGTCTCATACAGCTTTTGTTTTGTAGCTATAGCTGACCTGGAACTTGCTGTGTAGACCAGGGCTGACATCGACCTCACAGATTCTGCCTCTGCCTGAGTGCTAGGATTAAAGGCGTGCACTACCACGCCTGGCCCATAAAATTTCTGGGTCTACCCTTTGGGTTCTTGTTTCTGCATCTTGAATTGTTCCTTTTCTAGAAAACATACTGTTTGCACCTGTCATTGTTATGCCCTACTCTTTTTGTTGGAACATCCAATGCCTCGTTTAAGGTTTTTCGGTTTTTTTTTTTTCTCTTTTAAATTCAGTCTAGGTTGTTTCTTACCACGTTATTAGGCTTTTGTGTTGCTGTGACCAAATGTCCAAGAAAAACAAGTTAGAAGATTTATGTTGACTTACAGTTTCAGAGATCTCAACTCATAGCCTGTGGTTCTGTTAATTCTAAGCCCATGATGAAGCAGAAAATTCTAGGGCTAGGTAGAATATGTGACTGAGGAGATCCTCACCTTGTAGTGGACAAGAAGCAGAGAGGAATCCATGAAAGAACAGTGACAAGATACAGCACAAGGTCATGCCTCTAGTGACCTATTCCTCCAACTAAAGAAAGCATATGCCAAATCCCAGTGGTATTCAAGAAATAAGCATAAGTGACACTTAAAATGCTAATGGGGAGTGCTGTTTAAGAGATGGCTCAGGGTTAAGAGCATGAACTGCTCTTCTAGAGGACCTGGCATACATATACACAGAAATAAAAATAAAACGAAATCTTTTTTAAAAAATGCTAATGGTAGCTGGGCGTAGTAGAGCACGGCTTTAATCCCAGCACTCAGAAGGCTGAGATTGATACCAGCCTGGTCTACATAGTTCCAGGCAAGCTGGGACTACAGGGAGACCCTATTTCAAAAAGACTGCCCCCCACCCCAAATGCCAGTGGAGGCTGGAGATAGGGCTTATCAGTTAAGAGCACTTGCTGTTCTTTCAGAGAACTGGATTTTCATTTCTAGCACCCACATCAGGTGGCTCATAACCACCTGTAATCCCAGCTCCAGGGGCTCTGACACCATCTTCTGGCTTCCAAGGACATCTGCGTACATGTTCACAGACAGACACACACATGCACACAAATAAATACTTAGTAAATCTTTTAAAAAGTAAATAAAATAAAAATGCTAAGGGGTTAGCTTGATGATTCTCTAAGGTAGCAAAAGTGGTTGAGTGTGATGGTGCATGTATGTAATCCCAGCATTTGGGAGGTGAAGGAAGGGAGATCAGGAGTTCAAGGCCAGCCTAGGCTACATGAGACCTTGTTTCACACTCAACATACTAACAACCAGAGCCAGAGAGATGGCTCAGTGGGTAAAGGATGCTTATTGCACAAGCCTGGCAGCCTAAGTTTGAGCCCTGGAACCCACATAAAGGTAGAAAGGAAGAACTGACTCCAAGTTGTCCTCTGACCTCTATACATGCTCTGTGATTTGTGCATTCCTCCCCTTTGAAAAAAAAAAAAAAAAAAGAGGGGCTGGAGAGATGGCTCAGCGAAAAAGAACACTGACTACTCTTGCAAAAGACCTCAGTTCAAATCCCAGCACCCATATGGCAGCTAACAACTGTCCGTAACTCCAGTCCCAGGGGATCTGACAATCTCTTCTGTCCTCCACAGGCATTGCACGACATAGGTGCACTTACCTACATGCTGGCAATACACGCATACACATAAAATAAAATAAATAAAATTTTAAAAATAGTTTATTGCCAGGTGTGGTAGTGTACGCCTTTAATCCCAGCACTTGGGAGGCAGAGGCAGGTGGATCTCTGTGAGTTCAGCCTGGTCTACATAGTGAGTTCCAGGACAGCTGGGGCTATAGGGAGACCATGTCTCAAAAAGACCAAAAAAAAAAAAATTTATT